AGTATGTAATATATCTGACATACCAAGCAAGATAATAGGATCGGTATCGGGAGTTAAGCATGATACACGGCTCACATGTAGATGACGTTGGAGCGTCATTAATTGCTCCTGGATTCCTTGCCATCGATAAATTTCCGGCCGGAGTGGGGAAATCAAGGATTATGAAAGGCAAGGGGAAAACAAGGGGGGGTTGCTTCTCACCACATCTCTAATGGATGAATCCTACAGTTAAGTGATAGTCAGTATTTTTCATTCATCAGGGTGTCAATATGTGATGAAAAAGGAAGATTTCTCCTTAATTAGAGTGCCAAGATCGGGCAACAACGGCGAAGCGGTGGTGGAAACTCGTTTTCAGAGCCATCTTCCAAGGTCTATGTACAATTCAATATTCCTTAAATCACGCCTTTCACCGTGATAAATCGGGTAAATCCGCTCCACAAGCCAAGGCGAATCACTCCCCTTTTTTTTTTTTTTTTTTTTTTTTTCAGTTCGACAAGAAATCCTCTCAAGTACTCCGTACTCCGTTATGTTACTTCAACCGGCGGGCTTTTATTCATGCGTGTCAGAACAAGGCGCCAAAGACCAGCTTCTAAACTTCGCTCAGCAGGACATTAGCAGCCTTAAATAGTAGAGATACTTGGAGAGTGCTTTCTGATGGATCTCGCTGACATTTTCGGGCCACGACAGGAATCCCTCTCGCTGATCGATAGGTTTCGAGGGTAGAGAGCCCACAAGGAGCTAAGATGGGGTTAAATATTGAGTTGCCTCAGGGGCACTACCCCGGATTTCTCGCCTAAACTCCGGGCTGGGAAATGCCCCCTTGGGCGTCGGGTTAGACACACCTTAGGAATCCAGATTTGGCGCAGGCGAGGGTGCTATGAGATATATAACTCCCTGAGAAAGCTTATTCGCAAAAATGTGTATTCAGTCTGCTTTGCCGTAGAAACCATTGACTAACTACCGATTGGAGCCGCTGATCGTAAGGCCAACAGCTCAGAATCAAGACAATAATAGAGTTTGACGATCCTCTCCGTGTTTCGGGGCGATGTTACCCTCCCGGGCTGTCGAGAAACCCTCGTATCCAACGGAAGTGAAAAACATTATATCGATCTGACTCTCGTGGTTCCAGTGGAATCTTGAGGTCACGATTTCTGGCCTGGTCCGCCCCACTCGAAATTCTCCTCTCTTTGGGGAGAAGAAATTGACAACGACATGTAGGAATCCCCACCTACCGAGTAATGAGCCAATTAACTACCTCGCATTGCACAACTTTCATGATAGCCGGTTGGTAAAGGAATAATAAACGGACGGAAGCCGTTTGATTACCCACTCCATGTGGTATTCGCATCGTCACAGGCTAGAAAGTGAGAGCAACTCGGTATCAGGGTGCCCAGATCTTCTTCTTCCTTATTTTTTATTTTTATTTTTATTTTTATTTTTTTGTGTGCAGGAAAATTCCTCAACGGCTAACTTATTAACTTATCCATGTATTTGGTATGAGACGCTGACAGTTAGCTGTGGCAGAGTGCCAAACCAACCCAAACTTTTGGTGCCATGTCAGCCCTCGAAGTCAGGTCCTATATCCTAACCACCCAGAACTATAAAATACCAGAATGGCTATAGGCTAATCTGACAGTTGGATGATTATCATGCCCACTTTTCTCTTCAATAAAACTGCTGCCCCAAAAGCCAATGATACCTCATCAACGCGAAAAGACATCCACGTCGACGAGCTGTTCTCCACACGGAACGCGACGAATAAAGTGCCTCCAGGGCCTGATCCTTTCCAGGCACCAAGGCTTGTAACGTCAAGATATAACAAGCACATTTCAAACACAAGTTAAAGAATGCGATCTATGCGATCAGGCCTATCATTGGATAATCATATTTTGTTTGAAGTAATGACAAGGTTTGGTGGCTAGGAATCTGGTACAGGGCAACTATCAACTAGTTTCTTTTCGGGGATTTAGCAACACCTTGATTTTTAATATCCTGAGAAACTTTGTGCCACTCAAAAATCCTTCATCCAGTCTGCTCATTCTTTGTGTCGCGATGCCTTGAGATCGGTCTCGGCTTCTTACATCAAGACCAACGCTTCAATGAGATTGCCAAAATACAATGGCCAACGGCGACTCTTTCCGGCGGCAGACTCCTGACTCGGGATACCAAAGACAAGCTTACTGGAAGCTGCCAACAACCATGACATCACCATGTCTATTTTCCAGTGTGCCTATTTCCGCCTCTGGCTGATGATGCAAGACGTGGTCTCATGTAACCGCTCTTCAATCCAAGTACTCCCCCAAACGTTCGTGTAAGTGCGTGGCATCCATTGCGTGTGATTGGATTTCCGGATGAAATCTTCAGCGCCAGTGCTCCTATGAAAACAAACCATTCCAGGGCAAGGCATTGGAATTCATCAGTAAATGACTTCCACAATCCCTGCAATTCATACAGCTGAGCGCTTTCGGATATTGCCGATAAGGCTGTCCAAGCCTCGGCTATATCAAGTCTCGACCGACCCTTTCCCCAAGAGTCCAGCTGCCGCGAACGGGAAAAGTCATTCTTGAAGAATTCAGCAAGGATAGGGTTTGCTCCGACTTCAGGATCTCCACAAAATGCGAGTGCTCTGAAGCTCGTATTCGAACGTCGTATCTGATTAGAGATTTGCACATATCAATACCTCGAAGTATTTTTTTAAAACCGGACGCCAAGAGTTGCCATTAACTATTGCCAGAGATTGAGCATCCGTACTCCCAAGATGCTCTCAAACATATCCACAAAAGTGTTTTTTCACATCAGGACTAAAATTTTGCTTCTGAATCCGTATGTGGCTTTCCACATTCCACTTTTCACAGGCTGGCGACCTTCGTTCCAAGACTAGATGTGCTCCACACCCCACAACTCCAAGCCTTCTAGAAAAGCTACACTCTCTGGCTCCCAAGAGAAACAAGCAATAGTATCAAGAGAGTAGTGCATCCTAGCGGTGATCTAATGCTATTAGCGACCAAGACTTGACTCTAAGGTAATGATCGCTATATCGAATTTGACCGATAACTAACATTCGTTCGCGGGAAGACCATATACAGAACAAGTATAATTCCTTCTATGGAAAGCTTCTGGAAGGAGCAATAACAAGATCAACCCCACAATAAGCTGACAACGCTTGAATTTTCATCGTCTCTACGGAGAAATCTCCGCCAGTATCCGAACCATTTGCTGAACAGTCTCTTCATGCCAAAATGCCACCATTAGTGGGATGCTGGTAGAGTCGCTGTCGAAAACAACATGAGTATCAAAACTTGGGAAATAAAAGATCGCGAAGAATGCGGTATAGTAAAGAAGTAGCCCTCCCTTCTTGTCATTATTACTTGGTGTTAGGTGTTCCCATCTGATATCACCAGCGACAGAGACACAGACCTGTGATTTTCATCTATTAGCAGGAACTTAAGACAGTTGTGTTCTTCCGGATGCGAGGAACTCCAGACACTCGACAAACAGCGTGTAAACTAGCCGAATCATACTTTATTTCGCCATCCACCAGAAACTAGCAACCAACATTTTCATATCTTGTCCCTTCTGTCATTCGATTCGCAAAAAGCCAAACATGTTTAAGGTAACTCAGCGATAAACACCAGAGGACGTGTAAGGGTCGTTACTCCTACCAGGGCAGTATTTTCTGATACCTCCGGAGAGAAAATGTACCTTACTCTGATGCATTTCGATACAACCACAGATCCATCCGAACCAGGGCTATCCTTGCGATCTTCTAGCATTGATAACAACCTAGCCAATCAATACTGTGCCGAATTAGCAATGTCAGCAGGCATGAATGTGGATGCATGGATGTCGATCCCTTTCATCATATTTTATTTTCTCCAGCCATCGGTCACTGCTTGTAACGTTGGGGATCAGAATGATACGCCAAGGCCCAAGCCCCCAAAAAACGCCTCTGCTGAAAATATAACCGAATGATAAGGATTCGAACTCTACATGTTACATTCATCAGGACAAGAATAATAGTACAGGACACGTCGCTGCCACTGTCTGGTCTTTCGAAAAAGAGGAAATGAAATAGTCCGAAGAATCATGCTTTAACCCCCAGAGAGGGGGGAAGATAATGGGATGATACCGACCGAGAAACAAAGGAAATACGATTGTTTCTGACATTGCTTGCATTACTTAACCTTGCTAAAAAGAAGCTTAAACAAAGAAAGAAATCAAAAACACTGTTCCCGTTTTCCAATAATATCTTGTCCCTCAGCTGACCCGTCAGGGCAAGATCGGCCGTCGGCTTGGACTCATTCGTACACCTCACCCGAAAGCATACAGTCCTTCGTAAATGGGAGAGACCAGTAAGATTCAGAGCTGTGAGGCGAAACCCTCTGCTGTATCCATGCAAACAAAAATCCCAAGATTGTCGCGTCTGATTAACCCCAAAAAAGCCAAAAAGTAACAGCCAGGTTTCGACATTATGAGAGGTTGCTCATTTGAAGATCTCCACCGACAAACCCTATCTAAGCAAGTCTCTCACGAACACCCCATTTATTTCCGCCACAGAGGAACATTAGTGCCAGGCATGTAGGGTGGCTGGAGGCAGCCCAAAAAAAATGCCTGTGATTTCCGTCGTCACAAGATTCACAACCCTAGGAAGTTTCATCATTAATATTACATAGCCGATATAGCATCCAGTAAGCCAAGGGGTTCGTGTAGTCGAAGAGGGGAACAACGTTGCATATCGGCTTAGCTGCCCGCAGTACAAGAGTTTGAAGTTGCACTCAGCTCATGGTTGAAGTCCTTGCATATATGAACTTGACTGCCTCCCTTCCAGAACACTAATGTACCTGGTCGCTCTTATCTTCCTGCGATCTCTGGTCCGGAAAGCCAAAAAAACAGACGGGGTTGGGGTTTGAAAAAGTGAAATATCTCCAAGTTAATCGCCGACCACAACACGGTCTTACTTCTTCTTGTAGTGGGCGAATTTCTTGCGATCGCTGCCCGCAATGTCGAAAGAAGAGGCATCAGAACGGATTCCTCCTTATAACAATGTGGGAAAAGACATCGATGCCAAGGAACTGCAGTTCAGCGAAGCTGCTGGCCTCTACGGTGATGCTGAAACTGCCGCACGTTATGGCTATGTTACTCGAGGGTATGTCGTTCCAATATCGTTCCGATAGCCACGCGAAAAAAATGTCAAATGTCTCTGGCTCTGTGGGCTGACGTGACCTAATAGACTGAAATCCCGGCACATTCAATTCATCGCCTTGGGTGGATCTATAGGCACGGGTCTCTTCTTGGGCATTGGTCGTGCTCATGTTCAGGGTGGTCCACTCAGTATTCTTCTTGGTTATACATTGACTGGAGTTGCAATCTTCGGAATGGTAGAAGCCGCCCTCGAACTCCTCTCTGAACCTTAAGGCTGACTAGGATCTTGCAGATGATGTCTCTCGGTGAAATGGCAACATGGCTTCCCCTTCCCGGAGCTATTCCTCATTTCTGTGGCCGGTATGTTGACGAAGCAATGGGATTTGCTGTCGGCTGGAATGTACGTTGCACTCCTTGAATGAAAATTTAAATAAAGAGCAGAACGGGACACGGGAATTATTGCGGACAGCTCAAATACTGATTCGGTTAAATAGACTTGGTATCAATGCGCCATCACCATCTGTGTTGAAATCGCCGCCGCCGCCCTGCTTATTGAATTCTGGCCAGGCGCAAAGGGAATTAACGTCGGAGCGTGGATCGCACTAGTTTGGGTGCTAATTATGTTTCTGAACGTCTTCGCTGTGGCCATCTATGGTGAGGCGGAGTTCATCTTTGCAAGTATCAAGATTGTCACCATTGTCGGCCTTCTTATCCTGGCGCTTATTATTGATCTTGGGGGTGGTCCCGATCATGACCGACGAGGATTCCGGTACTGGAAAAATCCCGGTGCAATGAATGAGTATGTTGCAAAAGGTGACAAAGGCCGATTCCTTGGATTCTTCTCGACACTGGTGAATGCTGCATTCTCGTACGGAGGAGTAGAAATGGTTGCTTCTGCGGCCGGTGAGGCAGCAAATCCACGACGAAACATCCCTAAAGCTATCCGGAGAGTCTTTTGGCGTATTCTTGCCTTTTATGTCTTGGGATCTCTTGCCATCGGAATGCTAGTTCCATATAACGACAAAAATCTGCTGGATGCTCGGAAGACGTCGTCAAGCAACGGCGCCGCCTCCCCATGGGTCATCGCTGTTAAGAGTGCCGGAATTCCAGTCCTCCCATCCATCATCAATGCGGTTATCCTAACCTCCGCATCCTCGTCGGGTAACGCATTCTTGTACACAGGTAGTCGCTACCTCTATGCATTGGCCCAAAACGGACAAGCACCGAAGTTTCTCCTTAAATGCACCAAACTGTAAGCAACATCGAACATCCGTAGGTCATTTGGCCGTTGGGACTTGCTGACTCTTTCTTCCCATATAGGGGTGTGCCGATTTACTGCGTCCTGATCACCGGATCCTTTGGACTTCTCACTTTCATGTCCACCAGCGCAGGCGCCAACACTGTCTTCCTCTGGTTCCAAAACTTGACCACAGTCGCCTCGCTTTTCACCTGGGTTTCCATCAGTGTCGCCTGCATTAGATTCCACCACGCAATCAAAGCGCAAGGCGTGGATCGTAGTTCCATGGTCTTCCGAGCTCCCTGGCAACCAATACCTGCGTACTTTTCCTTGGTGTTTTTCTCCATCATCATCGTTTTCAATGGCTTCGATGCCTTTGCGCCTGAGTTCAAAGTCCAAAGTTTTCTCACTGCCTACCTTGGTGTCCCCATTTACTTCGCACTCTACTTCTTCTGGAAGGTCTATAAGCGGACAAAATTCGTCGATCCTGCGGAAGCCGATATTTGGTCCGGCAAAGCTGCTCTGGATGCTGTGGAGTGGCCTCCGGACAACCCACGTAACCTCATCGAGAAGGTGTGGTACTGGATCGCATAAATTGAGACTCGAAACACGAGGGAGAGTTCTGATAATTTATTTATTTCATGTCATTGCCGGTGTTTAGTGTAGTCGAGATTGAATATACTCATGGTTGTTCGTAAACCATGTGTCAATAGCCAACAGGGTTGTACCCGCGGGAAACGGGTACACCCCTCTCTCTTATCACCCCTTCGTCATGTTATTCCCGCTCTTCAATCCTTTGCCTCTTTGTCATAGTTCAGTCAGATTCTCTTGCTCTCCGTAAAATATATCACACCTTGACTGGATTCTATCTCAAGTAGGGAAGCCCTTCAACTTGTTCAACTGCGTGTCTCTTTCACTCACCATCCATTTGCAGTTGATAGGAGCATCCGACGTTTTTTCACCTTGGAAAAAAGGGCCATGTCAACCGACAAAGCTAGGCATGTCTGCAGTGGGTTAGGGAGCATCTCACCACCCATATTGGCAACTAGGCCCGGTTGCCAGTGTTGGCGTGAGAAATAAATCATATATCGATACTGTCTCCATTCCATATGCTCCAAAGGAAGAAACAAACAATGCCAAGGTCACAGAAGGTGAATAAAGCACGACGCATAGAGAAGAGAAATCCGAGGCGAAATTTATGATTGGAAAAGAAACATATGAAGGGGGAAAACAGCCTTAATGATATATATAGCAATCACTACAATAATCGATAAGTCGCCGTTTTTTCCCAGGGTTGTTATAATAAATCCCCGGTTTGAGAGCCGGGAGCGCGGCGCAAGGGAGAAGAAAGCATGAAAAAAGGAATGGACAGAGTATTATATACTTCACTAAACCGTGTAAATGGAAGACAAATTGGAGGTGCGAAAACGGATGTTCTCTTCAGGGTATTGATGTCATAATATATCGGAGAATAATCACGCCCTTCGGGGTAGACGACATTCCGACGGCTCCATATTTTTCCCCCGTTGAACCTTATTGAATAGAATGGCCGGGCGTCTCTTGCAGACTGCAGACTTTTGGAAAATAAATAAATAAATGAATTATAAAATATAATCCGATCCAATCAAAGTGTTTCGTGCAAAATGTGCTTGCAAGTGACCCAGAATGCTTTCGAGGATTTTATGAGAGAGCACGCAGTTTTATAGTATATTTTGTCAGGTAGAAAGCGTTAACTACCACAGGAAACGAGGAGATGTTTTATACGAGGTGGGGGTTTTTGGCACATCTTCTCTCCAACATCATTGGAAATTGACAAACTTGTGGCTGATACAATAAGGTTTCTCTAGGCTAGGGCTTGGACACCGCCTGCTTTATGATCTCTACTATTATCTTCAACAATGTGTTTGGGGTGGCTCTGGAAATCAAAAAAAGGCCTCAAAAAGCGATAGGGATACCAGTGATTATTACGCCATACAATTATGCTGCGTGGATTCCGCTCAATTGATATATGAATAACACAAGAGATCAAGACTTGGAAAGAACCAACTCGTGAGCTAGCCATGAGTCACTTTGCAGCTGGAAAATCGACAGAGGGAGTGAGGCCAGGGAAAACGGAACATCCAACGGCCAATAGGAGGACTATCTATTCAAGATGGCCTTGACTTGTTTATCGCCATTCTCTTAAACGATCCAGGAGCATGGATAGTCCAAGAAATCGCAACATCACCCGCATACTTCTTCGAATCGCCTTCCAGATGTGATAGAAACCCAGCCCTGCATACCCGAGTAAATAGGCCAAGGGCACTGCGACAACGACCATCCACACATGTGCTTTGCCAGTCCCCAGTAAATTCAAATTCATGCCGAAAACAGAAGTGACAAAGGTCAGCGGGACAAATATAAAAGCGAGCTTGGTCAGGCGTTTTAGGGACTCGTTTTGTTGGACACTGCGCTTTGATTCCTCAAGGGATGCAATCGCCGCAGACATATTGATATGTGGCACTTGTCCCTGTAGCCGCTGAGTTTCGTTCTCCAAGTCGCGTTTGAGCACGGAAAACATGAGCTCTGACAAGGAGGATGTTGGATATCGTGCCCCGAATTCCCATAGGCACTGGAAATTGCTACTTTGCCTCTGCAGATTGTCAGAGCGATGCGCTAGTGTATCGGGATTTTCAGGATCCAATGATGTCGATTGAGTTTCGAAAACCAAAGAAAGGGAATATATTTGAGCGCAGGGTAAGATGTAAAGGAGTGGGTTTTGAGTCGCTAATGCGATATCTTCGGGTTTAAACTGTTTGAGATCATCGATGTATATGTCATTGAGGTTATCTGATTTTTTGATATCGGGGACTGGGAATGGCTTGTTGAAAAATAACATTTTTGACCTAAACAAGTTCGGGTCGCGGGTGATATAGTCAATGGGACCATTGCAGGCAACGATTATCACTTGAGAAGTCATGCCCGTCAGTATGTCCAAACTGGCATTGTTGAACAAGCTGTGAGGTGGATGGGGGAGAGCTACTCCATACCAGTTCTTTGCTTCCTCAAGTCGTCGCTCTCGTGAACGTAGATGGATGTGTCCCCTAAAGGATGGTGTAAGCTCAGATAATAATCGCTGACATGCGACTGCCAGAGAAAAGTGATATCTGATGCTCTAGTCCCTATGATACCGAATTGTATCATATACACCTCCGGATGGACTCGATATTTCATGCCAACTGCATCCACGATCCTGCGATCCACCCCTTCAATCTCACCAGTCTTTGCATCATGGTAGTAGCCAATGAATATCAACCTCGTGTTAGATTCGGCAGGGCGATCTTCAAGGAGATTTAAGATAGACGAATGGTCTTTGTCTAGTTGCTCGGGTTTATGAGGAAACTCGTTGAACCTGAGTTCCCCGCCGAGCTCATCAACAATGACTACCGTTCCTAGCGAGGTCTTGTCGCTCACCCGGGGCTGAGGTAGCGGTGACCTGAAAAAGTCAACAAGGCGTTCATACGTCTCGTCCACCTTGGAAAGATGATCTGCATAGCTCTCATATGAATCATATGGGAACGATGATTTCGTATTTTGTTCATTCTCGAGCGACTGTGGCATTGAAGAGCCAATGGACGATAGGTCCGACTGGGACTCCATGTCAGCAGCGTTAGCTGATGCAGTTGGCGAGGTCATGATCAATGCCGTCAGCTACCGGTCCACGTATCCCATGAAAAATCCAGACATTCAAAAAAACGCAGCTTATACAAATGATATAGTTATTAGTGGGAGAGTCGCGGGAGATATTCAAAAATATCTCCCGCAACCGCGAAACGCTCAAATCGACCAGGCCATGAGCCTGCCACAAGGCTGCGCTAGTGCCAACAGTCCTCTCGGCAATTGGATGAACCAGTCAGCCCGAATGAGAATCATAGTTGGGTTTATTAATAGTGGTCATATCCTCCACTGAGGAACCTCTGTGGTGTGGTTAGCACAGGGAGAGAAAAGCTGTCAGCAAACTTGTAGATCTGGGATCCTATGCGGGTTATTTTTAGCCTCAAGCTGAATGAGAAAAATACTGATGATAATGTTTGACGACCAGAGTTCATCAAGCCCAGACCATGAGGTGTTTCCAATGAAGATTGTGTTTATTAAACTCCTGATGTAAGAAACTTCCAGGTTACATGGCAGCTATGGATGGACCAAGGAGAGGGATACGTAGCTTAGCTGGCTGGCTTGGAGTTTTTATTTTGAGGCGCTGACAGAATGGTTCCTACACTATTTCGCACGCAGATGATTCCTCCTCAATGGAAAGCAATGGAGAAGATTGAATTCATGTTTGTTCAATCTCGTACTGGAGGATATAGAGATAATATCGACAAGAATGGGGCAGCATGCAGGAAGAAACATATTTAGTGTCGGGAACCTATCTTGTCATAGATGTGGCACCGGTTTGACAAGATTGACACGCAGAGCATTGCTGAGATGCCCTGTTGAAAAATTAAAACAAACTTTCATACAGCTACCAGTTCCGGACTGTCAACTGGAGGTTGAGAGATCCGAGATGTAGTTCTAACTATTGTATTCCTTGAACGAGAAATGCGAGCCAAAAAGCGACACATTTTTCTAAGGAAACACAAAAAACAAACGTGAAAAGAACTGTCGAATATGGACAGCATGAAGAAGAGAAGATGAATTGAAGAGGACAAACACTTGATACATAAAAACCAGCGTTCCAGTTGCATCATCAGGAAAACCAACGCATATGTGCAGTCAAATGAATCTCCCTAGGAGTTTTCCTAACCCGCTTCCATGGGTATATCACAGAGAAAAACAACATCATGACAAACATAAGAGAGATGGAGAAAAAGAGAAATCAAGCCCGCAGCTCCAAACATCTGTACCTAAACGCCATACACCAGCCCACATGATATGTCCCCGTTGTCATCGCACTCGTAAAATAAATTTTGAAATCTAATATTACCAGGGTCGAAAGGTAACAAACGGCATATGTGAAATCAATCAACGCCTGGGGGAAGATCCTTAAGAATTTCCCAACCGTACTCCTCGTCAGGCTTCTCAGGCTCCATGCCCAGAGCATTGCGGTAGGCGCGAACCTCATTCTGCAAACCAGAGATGACACGGATGGGGACCTCTTCCTCCTCGCAGCGGAGACGGTATGCAGTACGAATCATTTCCGCGCACCTCATTGCCTTGGCATGCCAATTGTCCCTGTCGAGGCGGCTTTCAAGGTGCGCATCACGCTCGGCCTGGAGGAGATTGTTGTAGTGGCGTTTTTGGGCGAGGTAGTGCATGTTATTGTTCTGGCAGTAGTGACGGATCTGTTCCACCATGGTGCCGACGGCTGTTTCATATTCCCCGATAAGCTTGGTGTTTTCGACCTGTTCACGCTTGAGGATTTCGACGAGGGATTTTTCGCGGGCAAGGGCACGCTCGAGTTCCGCGATTCGGGCAGCTATGAATGAGTGAGAGAGTTAGTTGGATTAATAGACCAATTGTCGAGGATCTTACCAGTGACTTCTCCATTGACTTGCTGGAACGTCAGATTATTACCCTCAGCAGCAGCGCGCCTCTGTAATGAAAGAAATAAAAATTTAGTAAAACCTCTGATCTCTTTGTTTGGATAACATAAACCCCGTTGTTGAAAGAAGACGGTCGGCATTGGGCGGAAAAAGTGGGAACAACAAACCATAATTTCTTCTGTACTGTTAATAATCCCTTTTGTCATATCCCGATTGCTCTTCAACACATCACTGAGCTCGAGGACCATCTCATAAAGATGATTGAGATCCATCTGGTGCCCAGCATTGACTGGCATCCCAACGTTCATCGGCCCCATCCCTCCTCCATTTTGAATGGAAGGGGTGCCGGGAACGGGGCTCGGGCTCTGGCGGGACATGCCGGCCATGGCAGACCCAGGCTGATTGAAGGTGTTGCTGTTATTGTTGTTATCGTAGAAATTGGTGAAGAGGCCAGCGCCAGCAGCAGAATTGGCGTTGGCGGAAGGGGTTGGGGAAGATGGTCCTGAGTTGCTGACACCGGAAGTGTTGCCAGCCAAGGACATTCTGGCGTTGGAAAATGCAACGTTAAGCTCCGTTAGCTCGTCGTCCTCGGCGGGCGCTTTGTCCGCTACCCCAGTTCCACTTGGTGGTGGAATACCCAGCACTTCAGCGCGAAACCGGACCACGTCCTCCCGCGACACTAAATGCCTGGCTCGGCGGTGTCGAGTGACGGAGTGGTGTGTTGCAATAGACGTATTAGAAATTTCCACAGCACACTCTGTGCTGCCTTCTTTGTCTTCGGTTTCTTTTTAGAATGTCGCGTAGAGCATATTTTACTGAGTCGGTTATCCTTCGCGTTGGGAATGGGTCTTATAACCAGGATGCTTACTAACCGATCTGTCTAGCTGGCATTGGAATCTAGGCGTTTTGTACAGAGTACTTGTGGCTGGGAGCTTGAGCCAGTTTAATTAAGGGGCAGAAGAGGATTAAGAGGTGCGCAGACATGAGAAGGTGAGTTGATATATCACAAATTGTTAAAAGAGAAGTGTTACTTGTGCGTGTTTATGGAAAAAGATTTACACATCGCAAACGTCACCAGGAAGCTTTTTATGAGAAGTAAAATAACTATCTTTACTCGACAAATACCAACACAAACTAACTACAGCCTATCCATTGGCAGAGCAACAGAGTGGCTTTTTTCAGCATAGAATAATAACTACCTCCTGCCAACTGAATTAAGCCAATGGTTAGCCAGCAAATAGGCCTAGTCTAATAAACTCAATAGTTCAATAGTAAAGATATCCTCTCATAAAGTGCTCGACCGTCCAGCATCACATATCTCCTCCAGGACTCAGCCCGTCTTCTCGCCCAAAACATCCCAAACTCCGAATGCCATGTTTAACTGATTCTCAACGCAAAACATTTTGCAGAAAGATGTGGGGCAACTAAAGTAAGTTAGCCCCAGCAGCACGCTTGAACCTTGTTGTAAGCAGACAATTTAACGTAAAAAGGCATAATCCTAGCAACAGCCTTTTTCGTCTTTCCCATGGAGGTTTCCTTGCACAAATTGAGTTCAGTCAATACCAAATATTTTTCATCCCATTCAACAAGTCCGCAATGTAAAAAATGCTCTCGTCTATCTTGACTTGAAATGCTTCCGCGCGCCAAGAGCTTGCCGGTGCTTGGAAATCGGTGGGAGCGAAATCCGAAGCTGCCAACTCGAAAACTATAAAATCCAACCGTCCAACCAGCTTCAAGTCATATCCAACACCGCTGAAAGTTTCGTACCGGGATCGAGCATCGACTGGGATATCTCTTCCTGCTCGACATGCAGACCCGCCTTGCCAACGCGGCTTGTAACCTTTGCGACAAGCATTCTCATTCTGTCAATCTCCTGGCCCAAGAGGCTGTCTCTGGTAACAAGGTTTGGCTGGATGTTTACTTGAGGATCTTTGAACGGCTCCAGCAACTCCCTTAGCTGCTTATACTGCGCAAGACGCTCCTGCTGCTGTTTGCGTTGATTGTCAAGCTCTATTAGACGCTGGTGCAAATGTTCGTATCTGCAGTAGAGTTAGAATCAGGATAAATAGGATATAGATATTAGACTTCAATCAAACCTAAGTTTATCATCCTGGCCAATGTCCTCATCACCATCTTCTCTCCAATTCTCGGGGAGTCGAGCAATGCTCCTTTTTAATTGTTGTGGGTTAGTCTGACAATAACTACAGAGGACCTCTCCTCAAACATCCTCCAGGGAGTTTCGTACTTCGAATTCGTCAAGTCAGTGCCTTTCTCTACAACAAGGCCTTGTAATGGCCCAACCCCCGTCTCCGCGTCAATTGAGTTCCAATAGAGACTTTCAATCTGCCGGGCGACGTGATGGATTGCCTGTGATGAAAAGACCGCGCGATTGTGTTTCTTCAAAACAGCATTTACTAATATTACACAATTAATCATGGCTTCAGTAATTGGAGGATATGGATTAAGAGATGGCACGATTGTTCAAAAGGAGTGACCTCATACATTTTTGCAGTACATCCTCTACCGTTTTATCGGGGATATCATCTTCGAAAGCAGGACCGTAGTCGCGCCACTCTTCAGATGGAGTTAGAGCCTCGGATAGGATGCGAACTTGATTCCTGACGAAGGAAGACTTTAACTCTGTGATGGTTTTTGAGACGTCCATGCTTACGCAAAGATAATTTTAAAAAGACATGTAAAAATTTCTAATATCTGTATTCTGATGATGAAATAATTATCCCAGGACTCTGAACTGGTGCCATCTCCAACTTGTCCAGAGGCTGTTTTACCACGTGATATCATAGATTGGATCAGATCTGATAAGATCCTCGAAGATAATTACTTCACCTTTAGAGCTGCCGAGTTGATTCTACTCCATCAAACAAATACCATGCAAGTTTGTACCCTAAGGACCCTGGAATGATAACGAGACGATTCTGGATGTTTACTGACTTATGCGATCAAATGAATTCCCACGCTGAGGACCTAGCAGAATTGCGTCTTATGAGTGAGGTTCCTCCCATCGCGATCTTTAACCTCGGCACAATCCGAATGAGATGGCAATTCCTCGCATAAATACAACGGCTGACGGATTCTATGGCGTCTTAAAATTTATATATATGCATCCTAGTAAGGATTAATTCATACTTGAAGCCACAGCATCCGTTATAGTCCAACTTCTTATCTCCAAAATGGCGGGTAACAAACGCCCTAAGGGGCTTTTATTCGATGTTGGCGGCGTTTGTGTAAGGCATCCCTTCACTGGCTCGCAATTGTTCTACAATCTACTAACACCAAATCCTTCTTCTTGGATAGGTCGTCTCTCCCTTCCAAGCCATCCTTGATTACGAGATCGCAAACAAAATCCCGATCGGCTGGATAAACTACAGCATCCAACACACCTCTCCAAACGGTGCCTGGCACAAAATCGAGCGCGGGGAGGTGAAAATAGACGCGGACCTCTTCTCAGAGTTCAGTGCTGACTTCCAGCACAAACATCTATGGGAAGCGTTCCACGCACAAGAGTGCCAGAAGCAAGGGCTACCCACACTCTCACCTCTTCCACTCCTCCCGAAGATCGACGCAGAATACCTGTTCTGGGAGATGATGCGAGTTGCCCGGAGTCCAGATCCATACATGTTTCCCGCTTTACAGAAGTTACAAGCGTCAGGCCAGTTCGTCCTGGGCGCATTGTCAAATACGACCATTCTCCCCACAGACAATCCTCTTCCCCCTCCAGTAAATGTACAGCAGTACTTTGATTTCTTCATTTCCAGCGCGCATGTGGGACTTCGGAAGCCGGATCCCAAAATCTATGCGCTGGCGCTGAAGGAGATGAATGATGCTGCGAAGAAGAAAGGCCTATCATCCATTCTGCCGGATGATATTGTGTTTTTGGATGATATTGGGATTAATCTGAAATGGGCCAAGAAGGCTGGGTTCCGCACGATTAAGGTCGATCTGGGCAAGACGAAGGATGCTGTGAGGGAGTTGGAGGTTGTGACTGGGTTGCAACTTTTGGAGGGCGATGGGAGAGCGAAATTATAGATTTAACCAACGCAATTTCTTTCGACTTTTATCTTAGTTAGATTATATAGGCTACTATCCAAGGGCAGAACGGAGCATGTGCTCGAAGTTATAGATTAGGTATGGTACCATCTGAAATTCGTACCAAAAAGCAATTTTTCCAGTAAAATAACAAGAAAGGACTCAAAATCAATTGGTTAGAGATGTATTTGCTTCATACATCATGTCAGTTAACTTTGTATATTTTTTATACATTTTCCATTTTCTGTTCCAAAGTCTGATTTCACTGTTGGGTTCCGCACGGAGTAAGTTAGAGTGAAGCTCGTCGCCGACCCCGTCTGCCTGCAGCTTTGGGAACGTTGGCGCTAAGCGAACACACAAAAATAAACTATCGAAATCCCCCACTACAACGAACGATCTTTTCTCTTCCTCGTCCTGTCCCAACTCGTCCAACGTCCAGGTTCAGTTGCAGCTCGACGCACTCAACCCACCGGCAAGATGGTAAGTTCCTCTTTGCCAGAGCTGGCGTTTCATTGCCAAGGCTCAATCCTCGCAGTTCCTTCAGAGAAAAGTGATTGAGGGCGAGTCTTTGCAAGATGCTTCGGTGGAAGAAAAAATTTATTCTGAAGCGCAAATTGCTGACTCCGGGTTTTCTTTCTTATTTTTGATTGTAGCCTTTCACCAAGCTCGTCAAGAACAGCGCTTACTACAGGTGAGATCACTCGTTTATTACATGTTCAAATTTGTTTCCTTCTTTCTAGCTGTGTGCGGGGGACAAAAGCGATATATGCTGACCGAAAACACCCACACAGCCGTTTCCAAACAAAGTTCAAGCGCCGCCGGCAGGGAAAGACCGACTACTATGCCCGCAAGCGTCTGATCACCCAGGCCAAGAACAAGTACAACGCCCCCAAGTACCGCCTGGTCGTACGTTTCACCAACCGCGACATCATCACCCAGATCGTCACTGCAGAAATCACCGGTGACAAAGTCTTCTCCTGCGCCTACGCCCACGAGCTCAAGCGCTATGGTATCACCCATGGCCTAACCAACTGGGCCGCCGCCTACGCCACCGGCCTTCTCCTCGCCCGCCGAACCCTCAAAAAACTCGGTCTGGATGAGGACTTTGTCGGTGTCGAGGAGCCAGAGGGCCAGTACAACCTCACTGAGGCTGCTGAGACTGACGAGGGCACCCGCCGTCCCTTCAAGGCTGTTCTTGATGTTGGTCTTGCACGCACCTCGACCGGCGCCCGCGTCTTTGCGGCCATGAAGGGTGCCTCTGACGGTGGCATTCTGATCCCACACTCCGAGAACCGCTTCCCAGGCTACGACATTGAGTCTAAGGAGCTGGACGCGGAGACACTCCGCCGATACATTTTCGGTGGCCACGTTGCGGAGTACATGGAGACGCTCGCCGATGACGATGAGGAGCGCTACAAGTCCCAGTTCCAGAAGTATATTGATGACGATATTGATGCTGGTGATCTCGAGGAGATTTACGCTGAGGCGCACAAGGCTATCCGTGCCGATCCGTTCAAGAAGGATGAGGATGCCGGGTCCAAGAAGACTAAGGAGGAGTGGAAGGCTGAGAGCTTGAAGTATCGTAACAAGAAACTTTCTCGTGCTGAGAAGGACGCCCGTGTCCAGGAGAAGATTCGCGAGTTGGCATAAATGGGATATGATTGATGTTCTTTCTCTCTTTACAGCCTTGTCGAGTTTTCCGCTCTCGTTCTATTCTTGCTTTCCTATGTGCAAAATCGGAAAATGGCACGGTTCTTTCTCTAATTCTACTATTTCCGTACGATGAAGCCTATTGCAAAAAAGCACAATGATATGAATTTGTTAATTGAATGCGGGTTCTCGATACTCAAACGGCACATTATTGTGGTTCTTTTAACCTTTTCTTGTTCCCAAAGGAAACATATGGATGGATGGATCAAACAGGAGCTAACAGGCTGGATTCCATTTTCTTATATTTCTTTCTTTCTTTCTTTCTTTCTTTTTTTAACTGGCCATGGAGTTCTAACTACAAATGATATCAATGATTTTCTCCCTCTCGAAAAGAAACCGATGACAAACAATAAAAAATATCCTGGCCTTTTTAAGTTTCAAATAGAGAACCAAGTCCATCCTCAACCAAAGGGTCTATAGCTCTGGTGCTCATTCACCATCTTCTTTAAATATTCTATACTATTTTTTTCCTTTTTATCTTCCGAGTTCAAGTAGCATCATTTTACTATGGTCTTTATATCTAGTTCATGATTCCAAGTCCCTACTTGATTCGCCCGGGTATTCCGTGCATACAGTTACAAGGAGAGGGTTGGGAAGAGGAGTTGGACCTTGCGTCCTCACTTCTATGGATCAATCATTTGCACTCCAGAAATGGAGCATTGTCATATTAGAGGTATCGAGCAAGACAAAGACAGTTCCATATATGCCTGGATCGATACCTGTCCAGTTAGGATTATCATATCTTTTTCATAGCCCCATGATCATTACTAATAATTTGTCAGACACTCCTAAGAACCTCCCGAGCTGTTTAAATTCGGAGGCCTGTCGAGTCATACAAATCGGGTATTTACTTCTCAGGGTATTTTGCCCGTTGATCTTCAGCGCAAAAGGTAAACTCCCAGCATCCTGTCCTGTCATTATTTCTCTGTTTTGATGCCACTTCAAGTGAGCGCTGCAGAGTTCCAGGGGCCCAGCCATTGCTTTCAAATTATCTGTCAATTTTGAAGAGGCATGTTATTCCAGGACAGCAATATTTTCCATTGAGGCATGTTGAAGTGCATCGCTCACGCCTATTATTGTAGGCACAGCATGGAGTACATGCATGTTCTCAGGGTCCCTATGGTTCGTGAGATCTGTGCCACTTCAATTCACGACGTTGCCCCGTACCTCGATCCCACATACATATCTCGATCAGCAGATCTCTTCCGCACAACATCATCCAGGAGTAGAGTCTCGTCGTTGAGATATACGGAGAGTCGGTAACTATGAATAATCGGAAATTTGGCCGATCCACATCATCCTTGGCTCTATCAATCTTAAAGTGGGCGAACTCACACCACACGGAATGATGAGTTGATAAAAATAATTAATCTGGACAGGAGCTCGGACACTCAGAGTGGACAGCCTAGGTAGTTTAACCCAATGAGGCTCCAAGTAATCCATCCCCACAATGTAACCGAAAGTTGGGGGATTTTGTCTCTGCGAAACTGGAGACAGGCCCCGCTGAGTTCAAAAGGCTAATAATTAGGCGCGATCTAACAGGGCACGCCTAGCCAGAGAGAGAGGATCGAAGTGTTTAGAATGTGTTTCCGTCCCCGTACAATTCCGTCGATGACCCGAATAATTGCCTGGAGCTGTTCTACCGTTTACTAACGCTTTGGTGAGAGATGTATTTGTCTGCTGTTCAACTTGCCTCCGATACTAAATAAAAGGAAAGAAATAGTAACACCCCGGCGGGAGAATTCACGTAGGTAGGTAACTAATAATTAATTTGACTAGAGGAATGTAAATATCCTGTTCACGGGTGCGATGAGACGTGATTAAATAATTGAGATATGACAAGTTGCTCTACTTATTCTTATTCTTCACCTTAGTTATCAGGTGGATTTCCGTCGGACAAAGAAGCGCTGCTAACTATGATGTATCTAAATTTTGTTAGCCGTAGTTAATTAAGTCAGCTCCGCCTTTCTCTGTCGCCCACCCACACCGACCAACCACCACCACATGTATAATCTCATCTAACATAGTTATATTCGTTAGTTATCTCATATCTTTAATCAGCACACTATTACACTCTCAAGACACGCTCCCCATTAGTTAACTATGTCGTCTGTCCCTGACTAAGCCCATCCAACCTCGCCCTCTCCTCGATGATGGAATCCGTTTTCCAACCGGTCCTTAGATAAGTTCAATAGTCGGTGGCCCTAAAACGCCCTAATCCTCCTCCGCTCTCCGCTCCACGCTCCATGCTCCACGCTCCGCCTACCGCCATATACCCTTTATAACCCCAACCCCCGGCCAGGGCTTCTTCTCGCAGGAAATATCCGCACCCTCATCAACTCTGCCGTCGTGCAAATTGCTGGCGCAGACGTGGCTTCTGCCACTTCCAGACAGTCAGCCGTTCGTCCGCTCCGTGTCGCACCCAGCGTTTGCCCCACCTCGTTGCCGTGTGAGCATTATCCGGATTCTCGCCTGAAGCTCTACCGCTCCGGTTATTCCTGTATCACTTACTCCGTTGCGATATATCTAAACCCTGCTTCTTGTGCTTCTTCTCTCAGCCGCTATTATTCTTTTAGGAGGACCTGATTTCGTTGAATTTTGGGAAGAGCTGTGTCCTCTGTGAGATCATCCTCCGTACGTGAGATGGAGAACGTTGATTCAGTCGATGTGAGCTGGCTGCATCATTCTCACAAAGGTATATGCCTCTCTTCTAGAAATATTACTATTCAAGAAGCTCTTCACAAGCTACTCTGTTTCCTATTTTGCCACCATTTCATAATTATTTTCTTTCACATTCCTGCATCCCGTGGCATATTAAGATACTAACTCCGTCGCTTATCAAACAATCTTGTTTGACCAAAATCAGATCCGTCAGTTCCAAGAAATAGCCCCGATCCGATGTTACCAGACCCAACCGTCGTCGCGAGTTCACTTCAAACAAAAAAATACAATCTAACCAATGACAGCTCTCCTTTATCCCTATCCCAGTCACTACCGTCCTCCGCGATGAGCCCTCGACCGGCACCATCAAAACAGAAAAAAGGAGGCACTGTAACGGAGAACAATGAATCTACGCCTTTGCCTCCTTTAACGTCCTTACAAACAAGTGGAAGTACAGGTAAACCCTTAAGCACGAGAGGCCCGCCAGTTGGCCGTCGCAATTCTTGGATATCCAGCCTTAGCCAGAAATTTTCTTCGAGCGGCTCAACTACCCCGGCGCAAAGTAACGTGAAAGATGCAAACGCGAAGCAGCCCGCTCAGAGCCCACGCCAAGAGTTGCACAACCCTTTTGGTGCATCGTTCTCTCCCAAGGACAAGAGTGACAAGAAGGATGAATTGACGAGCCCCTTTGACTTACGTTCTCCAAAGAGTCAACCTTCGTTTTTTCATAATGCATTCCGGAAACTGTCTTCCTCTTCGTCTACAGGTGTTGTGCTAGGAAAGATGGCGTCGCAGGGGGTAATTATTGAACGAAGGGTTATGAATGTTGACCATCATCGCGATAGATGTAAGATTGCGGAGCTGGATCAGGCCAAGCTCCGCCGTGTTGCCTTTTGTGTCGATGTGGAAATTGCAGGGACCTCCCGCAGGTCGGAATCTGAAGAGGAGGAGACACACCAGCAGCCTCCCCAACCCTCACCACAGCAGGCACATCCACAGCCGCCGGCAAAAAAGAAATCAACAATGGTTGACCAAATCAGAGTTTTTAAAAGACAAGATTCCAAACTTGCTGAGAAGGGAGAGGGCTCAACTGGCCAGTCATCGCAACCAGGTGCTAATGAAGGACCAACCGAGGCGGCACAAAGAACAGATCCCACTAGCAGTGAAACGAAACCTGCAGAACTGAATAAGGAAAAGGAAAAGCCAGCTTCTGGTAAAGAACCGACGAGAAAGCAGGAGAAGAAGAAGAGGTCTGAAGGCGAACGGAAGGAGCGCAAGGAGAAGAAAAGAAGACAGGCCGAAGCCAACGGGACCATTCCTATTCAACTTATGCGGGACGGTGAATCAGGCACCTCAGTTCCCCTCCGCCCCACGAAGGGTCAGGAACATCCGACTACTGACCCTATCCGAATATACCGCCGTTGTTGTCAACTACGGGAAACCGGTGTTTTGAAAAAGCTTGTGGAGCAGATCTCGTCTCCCTCTTCGGGTCTTGCAGAGTCTCCTGGGACCATTGCTGTGCTAGATCTCAGCGGCGTTTGCATGTCCTTTGCTGACCTTGTTACCTTCAGTGATTGGCTTGCCATTGTTCCGGTCCGGAAGTTGATATTACAAAATTGTGGCCTCACTGATGAATCTGTGCGAGTGATTCTTGCTGGGCTTCTGTCTACAAGGACTGTCGAGGAAGCAAGGCTAAGAAGAAGCCATTTCAAAAAGCATAACGACCGCAAATCTACTCACGATGATAAACTGGGGGTAATTGAGAAGCTGTCACTAAAAGATAATCCAAAGATCGGTCACGATGGATGGAGATATATTGCTCTTTTTATCCACATGTCACGATCCTTGATCGGGATAGACCTCTCAGGAATCCCTTTTCCACAAGCTTCAATCCCGACGATTGGGCCAAGCCCTTCATCTACGAACCGGAGTAAGCCAAATACGGAAATATCTACTGTTTTCGCAAATGCATTAGCCGAGCGGCTCGCAGGGAACCACTTGGAGGAGCTGGTTATTAGCGAGTGTTATCCATCTGCTGAAGACCTCGCGAAAATTTGCGCAGCAGCGCGGGCTGTTCAGCTGCGACGATTTGGGGTTGCACACAACAACTTGACAGCGGAGGGGTTGGAACATGTTATTGAATATTTTCATGCTGGCCATTGCGAGGGGCTTGATTTGGGAGGAAACAACTTGGTTGAACATTTGGGACTGTTGTCAGCGGCTATCCAGAAGGCGAAGGGCCATCCCCTCGGTGCCCTTAGCCTGGCCGATTGTTCACTTATGCCCAAACCTCTCTGCTCCCTTCTCCAAGCGCTTACATTTCTGCCGAATTTCCGATTTCTTGACCTTTCACATAACCGTGGACTTTTTGCAACACCGCCTGACTCGCTGGCAATGTTGCGACGATATCTCCCCCAAATGGCAGAATTGAAGCGAGTACACTTGGCGGATGTCAGCCTCTCCCCAGAGCATGCCATAGCCCTTGCAGAAATATTACCGGATTGCCGTCGTCTGTGTCATATCAATATTTTGGAAAACCCGAAAATTGTTGCTCTAGCTGCGGCAAAAGACGCCACTGCTCAAGAAGAGGCTTGCGCATTATATGCTTCTTTGATGACAGCGGTCCGCATTTCACATACCCTTATCGCAATAGACATTGACGTGCCTACGGCGGAAAACAAGGAAGTTGTCAAGGCCCTAGCATCCCAAATCGTTGCCTATTCGCTTCGGAACCTCGAGCGAGGTGAGCTTGTGGAAGAGCTCTCTGATGGCGCAACCCCTGAAAAACACACTGTCCCTATGCCTGATATTCTTCTACATATCGTTGGAAACGTAGATGATGACGGGGTGGATGATCCCGTGAAGCCAGCTCCAGATGAGGACTATGTTATTGGTGGTACTGGACTAGTGAAAGCTCTGGGCGTTTGCCTTGGTAATGCTGAGCACAATACCTTGGAGGGCATGGGTGATACATCTCCGACTTCCACCGGCAGGTCAACACCGCTACGTCGTTCCAGTAGCGTTGGCACTAAAAAGCCTCGTGACATGTCGAGGAATCTCCTCAATTCCGCAAGGAAAATCCGTTTGCGATTAAAACCGGTCCTTGTCAGGGAAGACAGGGCTGGTAATGAAATGAATTATCGTATGTGGTTCTTTTACTTTTATGCTGCATCAGAGTTATATTCAAATATCACTTCTAAGTAACATGTTAATTTTTTCTTGCTGTTAGGACGGCTTCAATTCCTTGACTTCACCCTGCAGAGGATGATTCAACGGTTCGAAGATGAATACCCAGATACACGCCTCTCAACTGAACTGGATCCCACAAAAGCAAATCTTCCACAATCGAGCTCTTCACACGCGTCCACAGCGGACTCCGTTGAGCAGTCTAAACTCGACGACTCCGCTATCCTGGACGCACACGCACCAAGCCAAAGCGCAGATCCAGACGCAGACGCAGACGCAGACACTGCCATCGACGACGAGGACACAGACCACTACGCCATCCGCCTGTCCCGCAGGGGGTCGAACACGTCCCTGCATTCCAGAGCCCTCACCTCAGAGGAAGGCAGAGTCCACCGCTTTCAACAACATATCCGCCGTGACATCCTCAACACCGACCTCGGAGCAGCTACGACGGATACGCTGTCTCCAGTTCCGGATGAAGCGAAGGTTGCGGCCTTGCGTGGAAAGCTCGAACGGCTTCGTAGCAGCGAAATGCAGACGCGCATCGAGCTCGTTGGGCCTGATAAAGCGTTAGAAGAGCTGGGTGCGAATATTGAGGAGTTGCTTGCGCTGCGAGAGAGGGATCCGGAGGCTTTTGAAAGTTTTAAGGCGAGCCAGATTGCTGCTCAGATTAATTCTGGGCTTGGAAGGGAAGGGTTGTGATGCATGTCTCGGTCGACACATTGTGCTGAACGAACCCAGCCAGGTCACCCCTCTGTGCCTCGGTGGCTCATTTTTGCTATTGGGACATTGAAAATGAAAAGGAACTCGACATATTGACATCTGGATAAAATATCATTGTTATATTTCCTGTACTTTCATGTTCACATTTTTATTCTCAAAACTTCACATTGTAATTTGTGTCTGCATGCAAGATCACAGTCAAGGCTAATTTATTTAATGATATCTCTGCCTCCTCATCTCCTGACACACACACACACACACACACACACACACACACACAAAATGCATCTTAAATCTCAGCATTCAATCTATACATTGTCTCTTGCATACCCATTGACATTTATGTAGCATGAAATCATCTGGGTTCAGAGAAGGGAGGAAAGCCATTCAAAGTGCTTCAGTGACTCTTTTCTTTTCATTTTCTTCATCATTTCTGCAGAATGTCAATTTGTATATACATCAATGCGAAAAGCAGCCAGCAATATTTTATGTAGTGAAGTGTTAATTTTATTTCATTTTGGTATACTATTCCTCTGTTTAGTTTTTTCCCTTTTTTCTCCTTTTCTTTTTCTTTTCTTTTCTATTACATCTGGGAGCGCCTTCGATCTCAATGTTTTAACTCTCGTACTCAACATTCACCCTTAAAGAATACGGCCTTGTTGTTTTGTTTATCTATATTTTTATTGAGCTCGTTTCATTGCATTCATTCTATCTAAATCAATGCTTTTCGTTTCGTGATCTTTTTGGCATTGCCTACTCCCTGTATCTATCTTTACTCGATGTGCATTTGGCCTCGTGTATATATTTTAGCAAGTGACAGTGATCTTCTGAAAATGCGTACCTTTTCTCTCTCGCCTCCGTAACTATTCTTGCCGTACTTTCAACCGCCTTAGTCTCTGTTCCGTAACGTTAGCCAGTTAATTTAATGGAATCTTGGTTTCTTAATTATCATTTTTATTCAACTGTTGGAGTTGTTCCCAGCTGCACTCTCATGTCCAATTAGGAAAATCCAGAGAAGCCAATGACAATAATCTGATAGGTACTAATTAATTGATCACTGAGTTGGTCACTTTTCCCCTCTCAGCATATTACCACAATTCAATTGTGAATCTCTCAACAATCATGGAGAATTAAGCTTCAAATCAAGAAAGGAGACTTCTTCTAGCTCTCAGAGCAATTAGACAAATCAAAAGCATCTGAACTGCTGCAAAGATTGATAGTCTTTCTCACTCTGCTATTATCAATCAATCACATGATTAAGTTTCACATATAACTCTCAATCAAATTGCTAAAAAATAACTTATATTGAAGAAAAATCTATAGTTCAATAAATAATATTTATAAATGAGAGAAATCTATCTCTCTATATCATAAAATTATAAAATATAATCATTTAACTACTAAAAATATATATAAAATTTAATCTATTATTTATAATTAAAAAAAACTGAATTTAAAAATTTATTCAATATTATAATACATTAATAACTAAATTATTATATAGATATAATTATTAATAAGTTCTATATATATATATATATATATATAAATTTAAAAATTATAAATAATTTAAATTAGTAAAAAATATAAAAAAATAATATTTAATTAAAATATATCTATAAATTAATAAAGTTAAGATTTTTATAAAAAATTATTATATATTAATAAAATATTAAAATAAATATTAATATTTAATATTTGATTAAATTAATTTTATTAAAAACTAATAAGTAAATTTAATAAATTAATAAAATTAATAAATATATATTATAAATATAAAATATATATAGAAATTAAAGATATAAATAAAAAATTATATATATATTAGTAATTTTAATATATTAAAAATAAATTATTAATTTTTTAAATATTAAATTAAATATTTATTAATATAAAACTTTTATTAAATTTTTTTTTATAAAATATAATAAAATATTAATTTATAAAATTAAAAAATAAAAATAATTTTTAAATATAATTAATAATATAATTTTTTATTAAAATTATTATTATTATTATTATTTATTAATATATATTTTTAATATATATTTTTAATATTATTTTATTTTTTATCTATAATATTTATATAATATATTATTATATAAAAATAAAATTTTAATATAATATTATATTTTTTATTTAAATTAATTTAATATTAATAATATTTAAATTTTATATATTATAAATTATTTTTAAAATTATTTTTTATAAAAAAAATTAATTTTATATTATAAAACTATTATTAAATATATAAATAAATTATTATAAAAATATATCTATTAAATAAATTAAATTAAGAACTTTTAAATATAAAAAAATATTATATAAATTATAAAATATAATAAAAAATAATAAATTATATAAATTTTAATTTTATTATTAATTATTTATTTTAATAAAATTTATATAAATCATATTTAAAAAAAATTATTATTATAATATATATATTAATAATATAAATTAAAATTAATTTATTTTAATTTTTATAATATTAAAATTTTTTATATTAACTTTTTATTTTCATACTATTTATTAAAATACTTTATAAAAAAGTAATATTTTTAAATTTTTAAAATTTTAAAATTAACATTTTAAATTAATATTATATTATTAATTTTTTATTATTTATTTATATAAATACTTTAAATTTTTAAATTTTTTAAAAAATTCAATAATTAATTATTATTTAATTTTATATTAATATTTTTAGTTATTTATATTTTTTTACATTTTTTTAATATTAAATTTATCTATTATAAATATTTTACAAATTTATTTTATTTTTCAATTATTTATTTAGATTTATTTAGTTATTTATTTTATATTTTTATTTTTAATTTTTAATTTTTAATATAATATTTTTATTATAACTATATAATTATATAAATAAATTAATACTTTTACTTTAATTTTAACTTAAATTATAATAATTTTAAAAATAAATATAAATTATTTAATTTAAATAAAAATATTTTATTATATACTTATAATATATATAATAAAGATATAAATAAAAGTAAATTTTTATTTTTTTAACTATATAAAATATTTTAATAATTAAAAATTAATTAATAAATTTAGATATATAAATACATTTATAATAATAATAATAAATTAAAAATTAAAATAAATTAATATAAGTATTATAATATAATTATTAATAATATAAATTAAAATTAATTTTTTTAATCTTAATTATATTTAATTATTTTTATTAATTTATTTTATTTTAAAAATTAATCTATTTTGATTTTATTATTTATGTATATATTAAACTGTTTATTTATTTTTATATTATATTTCTCAATTTAATATTCTTATTATAACTATTAAGCTAGATAGATGAGTTGAAGTTTTTATCTTAATATTATTATAACTTTAGTTGAATCATAATAGTTCAGACTGAGAAAATTTTAAATAATATTATTTAACTTTAAATATAAAAAAAGTTATTTTTCAAATTATGTTAGAGAGCAAATGCGAGCTGCATAAGGAAACTATCTGCGTTGCTAACTGCTATATAACGAAATACTAAGCTTGATGGGATGAAAGAGGTGCTGGGGCCTGCCCGGGTTATAACCACCCGCATGGTCGTTTGATCACGTGAGAATATTTGGCCTAATCGGGCGCCGAGCTTAATCCGACGTCGAGTCTAACCGGGGCTCAGTCGGGCGCTGAGCCTAACAAAATATAAAATAATTATATATAGTTTATTCAACTTCTGTATTAAAATTATGCAATAGAAATTTAATGAAGAAAATAAAAAAAACTTTACAAATTAGTTTTAATTATTATATAATAAAGCTTCAAGAAGTATTTTAAAAAAATTTTAAAACATTTTTTATTAGAGCTATAAAAATAAAAATATTAATTTTATTATCAGCAATTTAATTTAATAAAATTTGTATAAATTATATGCTAAAAATTATAAAAATAAATATAAATTATTTAATTTAAATAGAAGAATAATTTATCTTATATTTTTTAAATATATTTGAAAAATATTTAAATAAAGAAAAATTTCTAAATTAAATTTTTTTTTTAAAATTTAAAGAAGATAATATCTTTTTAACTATATAAAATATATGCTATGATTAAAAATTATTTTTCTAAATTTAAATATAAAAAATATAAATTATAATGAGTTTTATTCTTAAATAAAAATTCTAAATTTATTATAGATATTACTATTAGTAATTTATCAAAAGAAAAAAAACTATAAATATTTAGAAATTTTTAAAGATAAATAAGAAAAACTTTCTACTAATCTACTTATATGATTTAAATAGTGAATAAATACAATTAGAAGTTGATATAATAATAATATATTTTAAAATAAATTTAAAGTATAAAATATTATTATAAAATTTAAAAAAAAGTATAAGAGTTTAAGCATTAAATTATTTAAAGTTTAAAAAACTTTTATAATAACTTATAAAATTATCTTTTAGAAATTAAATATTAAAAATATATAAATATTTTCAAATAGTCAAATAATATTGAAAAAACTTTAAAAATATAAAACTCAAATTGATCAGATAAATTTTAAATTAATTTAATAAAAAAAATAAGCTTAAAAAGAAAATTATTTAAAATTATTTATTTTAAATATCTTCTTAAATAAATATTCTAAAAGATAAAAGAATAGATTTAACAATAAAAATTAAAATTAAAAATTAAAAAAATAACTTAAAGAATTATACTTTGATTATATATTAAAAGAAATATTAAAAAATTACTCAATATATAAAATATAAAATAAAATTCAAATGAAAGTTTTTATAAAATAAATAAATATATTAAACTTAAATTTTAATTTATTAAATTTATTTTTAATAAATTTTTACTTTGTATTAAGAAAAAATATAGATTATAAGAAAAATCTAGATAATTTAATATATAATAATTTTTTAAACTTAAAATTATATTAAAATAATAAAAAAAATATAAGTTAAAGAAAATAATTAATATAAAAAATATTATCATTAACTTT